TAGTTGATCCACAAAGCGCAAATGTACTTCACAGCTAAGAAATCCTAGAAAACCAAATATTCACCGAGTGCGTTACAAATTAAGCAAATTTAAAACGCAAAATACCTGGTCCTTTGGAGCCATTCCTGTGGGTCTTAACTGGAAAGTATAAAAAAAGCAAAGTTTTAAAATAATAGCTGGGTAATATTTCTCATTGTTGACTCCGTCTCTGAAGGCATGTTTTTCCCTTATAGACCTTATCACGGTTTTGGAAGCAATCTTGACGGGAAGACAACACGCGTCAGAAATTACGGTGTTGTTTTAAGGGAATCTGATAGCAAATAATTTTCTTGAAAATCAAATTCTGAACAATTTATGAATACCAGAGTGAAGATACTAGACAAGGATTGGATTGACCACATTTGAGGGATGCAACTGTGCTAGAACGAGTCCAGTCGCGTTTTTTAATTTTCCATACATTTGTCTACGATTTTTCCGCGAAGTGGGGTGAAATTGTAAGCCACGCACAAGTTTGCAATGGTCACAGTAAAAAAATCATCGACAGATGTAAAGAAAATTAAAAACTCGATAAGACTCGTTCTAGCACAGCAACATCTCTCAAATTTGGTAAAAAGAGTCCCATGTCTAGTATCTTTACTTTGCTATTCATAACTTGTTCAGAATTCAATTTTGTTGGGGTGAGTTCATAATTATTTCTCAAACTTATTAATAATTCCCCACGTTTAAACAAAGGAAATCATGACCGTGACAGTCTTTGGATAGCATAGATTTTCTTTTTCCGTTTTTTCCTTAGTTTAAGTCAAGTTTCTCCTTGGTTTTAGTTTTGGTTGAGAGGATAAATCAAACACTCAAGACAGTGTTTGACCACATTCCTAAACACCTAGAAGTTCGTTGCGTCGTATTTTCAACTCTCTTCTTGGTAAAATAGTAAATGGTTTGAACCCAGGAGTATCAGTAGTTCGTATAGTATGATCGTCCGGGTGAGGGTAGTTCTGAAAAGAACTGTTGTTGGTGACTGACGTTTCGACCACCTGAGCGGAAGTCATCTTCAGAGTCAAGTGAATAGTTTTTGTCAGTCGATGATGTTGTAAGTCTGATCCGTTGAACGTGATTGGTCAGTTTAGCCATGATGGTATTGGCTGAAAGACTAGTGTAAAGTTTGTTTGGTGTTTGGAAATGTGGTCAAACACGGTCTTTCGTGTTTGATAGATTACTTCTTTCGGTCTTAATTAGCATAGATTTTGACGATTTACTTCTCCGTTTACTCCTTGGTTCGATTGAGAAGATACATGTATATTAAACACTCAAGACAGTGTTTCATTGCCTATCCAAACACCCCAAACTTCATCAACTCTCATCTCAGTGTTTGGATATCCCAATGATATTATACATTAAACAAATTCACAAATACGGGCACAAACCCCATTCATGGTAAGATGAATAGTTCCCATTGGCTGGCAGATAAGCATCATTTATAGAGTATTCCATTCTCACATCCTCCTCTTCAGACACCCAGCGACCTTCAATGTACGACGTCCGTGTGGCCTCAGCCAGCTGAGATTCACGGTTCTCATCATCATTCTCACTTTCAATGTCACACTGTATATCTGAAAAGAAAAGATCTGTCAGATTCAAACACAAACTACGTCAAGCCAAATGGTCTACTAGGGGCA